TTGGGCACAGCTCTTCCTGTCCTTAGTGAGTTGAGAAGTTGACCACGTGGTATGTGTGTGTTCTCTTCAGGAAGTAATAGAACCAAGAAATCTATATCTTGTTAAAATTGCTCACAGGTTTATATAGGGGTTTATATCATCTGTGATCATACTTACACTTTGTAACCTAGGACAAAAATGTGCATGTATATGTGTGTGTGTGTAAATACACACACATATAGATTTTCTTGTGTTCTTCCAGTTGAATTTAGTAGTTAGCCAATGTTTTCTGTCGTATACATGTTGGAAGGAATAAAAAGGAATGGAAATGACAATTTGACAAAATACTTTCTGATACTGTTAAAATAATGTAATAACTGTTTAATCAGAATCTTGCCTTTATTTATTGCCTGGACAATACAAACCTATTTTTTTCTTTAAATTTGATTTAAAAGATGTAGCCTTTGTTGCATTATAAAACGCATAAATACAAACATTACCTTCCATGATGAAATATATTAGGTACTAATTAAGTGAAAGCTCTGTTTTGGGACAAATGATAACCTAAGACCTAATTAATTTTATTGCTCTTAAGATATTTTTTAAATGTATAAACTTCAAACAGGAATTTTGTTGACAGTGTATCATTTACAGCATTTTGAAGCTATTTTCTTTTTTTAAATATAAGAAATTGTCCTGAGTATTATGGGTTAATTAGTCAGGATTGCAGATATTGACAAGTTAACAAGCAGTAAGAAATAAAACACATTGAAGAGATTCCAGAATTGAGTGACATGTTCTTCAAGTTTCTACATTCTTGTGCCAATGAACTTTTTCTTCTAAGAAATTTTGTCTCCTAGACTGTAGAATGCTTATGAATACTTCAGTCTAGTTTACTTGTGCCAGTAGTTGTGGTACTTAGGTTAGAATAGCACATGATAAGCAGTGAAGCCGGTAAGCGTTCATCCCTAAATGTCTCTCCTCCATTTTCCATTCGTAATTTTTCTTCAGAAATATTTTTAAGGAATCTTCAAGAATACTGCTGATGAGTAAACTAGTGAGCTTAAGTTATGGCAAAAGTGCTAGGATACTTCAAAAACATCATGGAAAATAGAATAAAGTTCTTTTTGGTATTAAAAATAGTGTTGAAATCCATGTTTTTTTTTTTCATAAAATGCATTGTCCATGAACTTTATGAAGACCCTCATATTTGCAAGATATTACATGGTTTTGTTTTTCTAGTACCAAAACCTTTTCAGTTTTATTTTTGTTTTCTCTTTAAGTAGGTTAAAAATCATTGCAGGCACAATGTGTGGGGATTATTATGTTTTCTGCTTAATTGACTTGATATTTTAAATTTAAAATAAGAAATGTTTACCTTTTAAAAGTTAAATAAAAGAAATATACTCTCCAATAATTGCATGTTTGAGTGGGCCAAAATTTGAAATCTCTTACAAACACTATCGTGTTATTCTGTGTTTCTCATCCTATGTGTATTTTTGTTTAATACATTGTAATTTTTTAAATAGCTCATAATAATACTTTTTCTTTTGAAGAACTATATTTTTACCTTCTTTATAAAACCTGTTAGTATCTAAAACTTTATTATTATTATTTTTTTCTTCATAGATAGTTGGTTGCCACTTTAGGTCTATTCCAGTGAATGAGAAAGACACCTTAACATATTTCATCTGCTCAGTGAAGAATGACAAGAGCAAGTCCGATCTCAAGGTTGATAGTGGTGTGCACTAGAAGAGATGGAACTGAAACTGGTACTGGGCTGTTCAGACGCGGAGACTGTTGATTGCTTTCTCACATGTAGAAATCTTCCTGGTGTATTTTTTCTACAGAGGATTTTCTCTGGTTTTATTTTTGTTTGTTTGTTTGTTTGTTTCTAACTCTAATAACTAGTTGGAGACTCATGTAAAATGAGTTTTCCTAGATTAAAAATATTTTAAATAAAAGTTATTACTATTATAGTTGCTTCAGTGTATTTTGTGAAACTTCACTTTCCTTTTTAGCTGACTTTTATAGATTCATATCAGTGGAGATTTGATGTTATGGATACACAATGAGAATCACAGCGTAGTGCTTTAATTTCTAGCTGCTTTGGCATGTCTTCAGGGTTCAGCGATATTGCAGTATATGTCAGTGCTTCGTTTCTACGGTAGGAAGTATTCCATTGTGTACATCACCATTTAGGGATCTGTTCATCCGTTGATGAGCGTTGGGTTTCTACCTTTGGGCTATTGTAAATAATGCTGCTATAAATGTTCTTTTTTTTTTTTTAAAGATTTACTTATTTTATTGGAAAGTCAGATATACAGAGAGGAGGAGAGACAGAGAGGAAGATCTTCCATCCAATGATTCACTCCCCAAGTGAGCGCAACGGCCGATGCTCTGCCGATCCAAAGCCAGGATCCAGGAACCTCTTCCAGGTCTCCCACACAGGTGCAGGGTCCCAAAGCTTTGGGCCGTCCTCAACTGCTTTCCCAGGCCACAGGCAGAGAGCTGGATGGGAAGTAGAGCTGCCAGGATTAGAACCGGCGCCCACATGGGATCCCTGGGCATTCAAGGTGAGGTCTTTAGCTGTTAGGCCATGCCGCCGGACCCTAAATATTCTTGTGTAGGTTTTTCTGCACAAGTTTTCATCTGTCTTAGGAATATCCAGCTGTGTCCAACCATTGACTCACGCAATGATTTCGTATTAAACTTTTGCAGGAACTTCCCATCTCTTCCTAGTTGTACCATTTTTACGTTCCCATCAACAACATAAGGCTCCACTGTGCTACTAGTTGTATTTTGCGTGTGTGTGTGTGTGTGTGTGTGTGTAACGCCTTCCTGTTGGAGAATAGTGATATCTCACTGGGATTTTGATTTTGTAAATCCCTAATAACAATATTGAACATCTTTTCATACGCACGTTGGCACCTGCATATCTTCTTTGGAAAAGTGTTTATTCAGTTCTATTATTTATTGATTTTAAAAATATGTATTTTTTTTGGAAGGCAGAGTCAGATTCCTGTTCAACACTGTTCAAGGAATGCCTGTGGATGACTAGAAAAGGTGGAATTTTATTAAGCATAGGTGACCTATTCAGTAGATTTTACTGGCCAACCTAGTTCTCAGCAACAAGGACTTGTAGACCAAGAGCAGAGAAAGTAAAAAATACAGATGTTGTTATCCAGGAAGCATTTAGCATTTATGAGTTCTCTGAATTATACAATTGTGTAGATCAGCTGAGTAAAAGTTCACTTTTTTGAAACAAATACTGAAGATAATGGTATCATGCAGTGCAGTGATTAAGATTGGGTGCTAGAATAAAAGTGTCCATATTCAAAACCTAGTTCTGCTCACCAATGATGTAATCTTAGGTCAACTACTTAATTTTTCCCAATCTTGCCATTCCTTTTGCCTATAGAACAGGGTAGACAGTACCTGTCTTTTTCATTTGTTGCAAGACAATGTTTAGAAAAAGACAACAATTTAAGCAAAATCTTAGTTGTCTTGTAACTAAAATCTCTTGGAAGAACAAGGGATCTGTTTATCAGTATGATTGAATGAAATGTTTGCTTTTAATGACCTAATGACTAAGTCAGAAAAAGTTGTATCAATGTAAGTTGTCTGGACATGTGTTTTTGCATTTATCTAGCAACATGAAGAATGTGGTTTGCTTGCATAGTAATTCATTTCCAAGAATGTAGTTGGATTTCATAGTATAATTCTAACTTGGGCATGCATCTTGCAAGTAGTCATGTTATTTGAAAACATGTTCTGACTTGTGTTTTTGAAGACTTTACTAGAAACAAGTATGATCACTCCAAGATTGTCAGTCCAACATGGTGACACTTGCTGGGCACTGAATAAATTCTATATAATGTTCTGAGTACATTAATAAGCAGAACAGGGATCGCCAAAGATGTATTTCAATGAAATAGTGTCACTTTGGCTCACGAGGATTTCTCCTGGGTTACCTGTGTGTATGGTATTTCTCAAACGTTCTCTCTTCTGAAACCAACCTCTTCTCTGTAGCAGGCTTCTTATTTTAGAAATACTTATTTGTTCTAATTTTTACACATTTGTTAGTACACAAGTGCCATGAGGGGCAGTTCATATTATTCATTAGTATATCCCCAAATCGTAATAATGTCCAAAAATTAGCACTCACTTAGTACAGCTTAATTGAAAAGCTTCGATGGCCACCATGAATTGATGTATGCTTAAAATATAAGGGCAAGCTCCAACACTGTCACCTCTAATAACGTCTTTTAGAAAACATCATTTAAAGCACCTGTTTATTTTAAAATTCATCTGACTAAATTTGCATCCTACATGTGTTTCTTTCAATGTGTGCTTCGTTTTTCTCAACAAAAAGTGATACTTGGATACATGAATCATGACATTAAGCATATAGCTAAGTGTAGTGGGTGGGCTTTGGAACTGCGGTTCTGACCTGATTTTGAGCAAATGTTATTAAACTTGAGTTGCCATGTAAAAATGAGGGTGAGAATATTTGTATTGAAAGTTTTTGTTGTCTGCTATGAAAATAAAACTGAAAATGTACTTAATAAGTACTTGAAATACGTAATAGGCACTCAAGTATGGGTTCTCTTTTTTCCTTCTTACTAGAAATTTATAGCTGGCTTTCTAAGAAACTCAATTAATTTCATGGCTCTTCCCTTAATAAATATAAGTTTATACAATCAATAATTACCAACTACAACCTGAAAGTATTCTTAATCTTTGAAAATTGTGGATATTCATCTGGAGCACTAAATCTTTCGATGAATATGTTAGATGAAATTTTGTAGCCAAATTTTAAACCAATGTCAATAATATTAACAGAATAACTAAATCAAATTAACTTTTATTATTACTGTTTAATCAAATTGCCCAACACAGGTAAGAATTTATTGAATCTTTGCTTTATTGCACAGAATAGAAGCTAGAAATGCAGTGAGGCTGATGTAGTACAGTTTGGGGAAGTTAGAGATGGCATTGTCCCGACAACGCGAAGATCCTCAGTGTCTGCTGCAAGGAATCACAAACGAGATCTTTGGCCCAAAAAAGACATCTCTGAAAAAAAGTAGAATATAAATTAGATTCTGGCAAAAGCTAAAAAATATACTAGTCTTTTCTTGGTTAAAACTGGACAGTAATTTCTAGGATTTCAGATGTGGCTATTCTTTTTAGACACTACACTTGATCTTAGCCAAAAGGCCGAGAAGCGATGGCTGTTCTTTTTAGGTAAGCAATAATAATAATACAGAGAGGAATAAGAGGGCTTGCCAGCAAGAGGAACAAAGCCCAAGACGATGACCAATTCCACTCTCCCCTCATTTGCCATTGATATTATACTATCATCACCGTATTTAGAAAGAGAAGGATGAAATAATTTCAGAACCGCCTCATCAAACAATTTCATTTCTTTCGTGGAAGGAATGGATTGTGAAGCTTAAATTTGCAGGTTAGAAAAAACAATTTTAAGGAAGTCTTTCAATAAATTTCTAGTTTTATAGCAAGTCTCCTCTGGTTGGAAAAATTACGTTATGATAATACATTGAAACTCGTGGGACATTATTAAACCTTATGTATGTACAAAGCAACATTAGGATTATGTTTTACTAGAAATGTACTTAGTAAGGTAAATATTTTGTTACTGGGAAAACTATTCCCAAGTCAGAGACAAATTTCTTATATAAAGCCACAATACTGTCCTTGTCTACTGATACAGATAACCATAAATCCGTTTCAGCAATTTGGTTTCAAGTCATATAATAACCAAAAGCAGATGTGGCATTTTAGTATTAGTTTACAATTTACTCCATTTGTGTAATCCTTTCATTGGGTTGATTTAAGTTATTCAATTGTTCTTCAAGGTGCTCTTCAAATTTTACCATGCATCAGAATTGCTTAGAGGGTTTGTTAAAATAAAATTACTGGACAGTTTTTGATTCCAAAGACAGCAGTGAGGGCCAAGGATGGATGGGTATTTTTTAACAACTCATTTAATGCTGAAGCTGCTGTTCTGGAAGCTGCATTTTGACAATCAACTGGCTTGGCAGGAAGGCGATCTCGTCTAAAGCGGGATAGCTTCATTCCAGTTCCCGCATTGGGACTGGATAGTCATGTGGGATAGAACTGGTCATTTCAACTTTTCACACCTTTCCTCAGCAAGGTCATTATAACTGCCTTTCCACCCCCAGGTTTCTTGGAGGAATGAAAATGTGATAACATATAGATATTGCTAGTAATTTGAAAAGGTTAGTTTCAGTGAGAAATTTGTATTAGAGGGATTCCTTAAAACCAGAGGAAGCAGATTCTAAAATCAAGAACTAAAAATATTTACTGACTTTCTACTATTTTTAAAATGAAAATAAGTTTACTTTCCTATTTAGTCTACCTTAAGTATAAAACAGTGGTAGATAAATTCTTTTTTTTTTAATTTTTAAAGGCAGATATACAGAAAGGAGAGACAGAGAGGAAGATCTTCCGTCCGATGATTCACTCCCCAAGTGAGCACAACGGCCGATACTATGCCGATCCGAAGCCAGGAGCCTCTTCCGGGTCTCCCACGCGGGTGCAGGGTCCCAAAGCCTTGGGCTGTCCTCGACTGCTTTCCCAGGCCACAGGCAGGGAGATGGAAGGGAAGCGGGGCTGTCGGGATTAGAACTGGTGCCCATATGGGATCCCAGGTGTGCAAGGCGAGGACCTTAACCACTTGCGCCACTGCGCCGGGCCCAGTGGTAGATAAATTCTTGTGAAATTTAATTTAGTTCAGTTCTGGTAACTTGTATGTAAAAATAAAAAATTTTCTTTAGACTCTTACCAAGTTTTTCTGGTCTGTTTGTTACTTGATCCCATTTACTGGATTTAATATTTCAAATCTTAGTTTTCTAATTGCTTTAAGAAGAAAACCTTGAGGATGATTTTGCTATCAAGACAATTTGTGTGTGTGTGTGGTAAGCATCAGATGAATTTAGAATACATTGGATTTCCTGGATTTCATTTGTTTTTATTATTTTCGTCCAAACCTGTTTCTTAAAAACATTTGAGTTTCTATATAATGATAATGATTGTAGAAAATAGTTGGATTTGAATAGAATTTTATTGGAAGGGATGATCAATTTCAGCAGACCTATTATGATGGAGATAATCTTTGGAAGAGTGGTTGTAGAAACATTTCAAAGCAGTACAGTTTGTGATTTCCCCTGCCTTACTTGGGGCAGCATAGCAGCTCGCTGAAATTGCAGTAGCACATCATCTCGCATTCCTTCCCATCCCAGAAGTGATCCTGCACGGCCGCGTCAATGTCTGTGAGGTCAGCTACTCCTTCTGGAAGGTTGTGACAGTCGCGATCTTGTAGCATCTTTCTGTAGCAGGAAAGGCGATTTGCAGGCATGGCTTGGACTCCCAGCAGCAGAGTTAGTGCAACAATGACAGCAAGTGCTGTAAATTTCATTTTGGCTTTTGGTCCTGAGATAAAGAAAAAAGAAAGAAAAGAAACATGTCAGTTTCTGCTTTACAGAAATTATCTGAAAATAAAGGTCTACAGCATTCTTGGGGTCTGGAGTGGTAGCCTAGTGGCTAAAGTCGTCGCCTTGCACACGCTAGGATCTCATATGGGCACCAGTTCATATCCCAGCGGCCCCAGTTCCCATCCAGCTCTCAGCCTGTGGCCTGGGAAAACAGTCGAGGATGGCCCAAAGCCTTGGGACCATGCACCTGCCTGGGAGACCCAGAAGAGACTCCTGGCTCCTGGCTTTGGATTAGCTCAGCTCTTGCCTTTGCGGCTACCTGGGTAGTCAATCAGCAGAGGGAAGATCTTCCTCTCTGTCTCTCTTCCTTTCTCTGACTTTCCAATAAAAAAAAAAAATCTTAAAAGTCTACAATATTCTCAAACTCTTAGAAAGCATGGGAGTTGGTCTTTTCTGTGTTCCTCTTTCAAGTTTTCAAAGTGCAGTCTTGTGACCATCTATCCAAAAAATGACTTGGAATATTTCTAAAAATTCAAATACATAGGCTTCACCAAAAATGTTAAAGGAGAAAGGCTTGGTATATGTGCTGCCGAAGCGAGCACAAAGGAGAAAGGCTTGGGATGAAGGTTGACAGTGGTGATGAGATTCAGAATCTGTATTTAGTGAATACCCAAAGTCAAGTTTTTGTACATTCAATAGAGACTAAACGCTTTGGAAGATAGTATAAACTCACGTGATAGATTAAATGTGGAGACTTAGTCATTATGGTGATTGAAGGTACGAGCTTTGAGAAGTAATTAAATCGGATTAGATCACCAGGGTAGAGCCCCCTGATCTGCTCATGATAGCTTTATAAGGAGTGACCCCATGGCTGAACAAGCTCGGGTCTCTCTGCTTTCTGGCCTGCCCTGTGGTCGTTCAGCCAGTCAAAGCGAGTCGCCCAGTCTTAGCGATGGCCTGAAATAAACTCTCTCTTCTCTCTCTTGATTTGTTTTTGTTTTGTTTTGTTTTGTTTTTAAGGCAAATTTAACAGAAAAAGGAAGATGGAGAAATAGGTATCTTCCATCTGCTGGCTCACTTCCCAAATGCTAAAACAGCCCTGTGTGAGCCACATGCGTAGCAAGTCTTTTCACTTCCTGGTAGCAGGTCTGGCCACATCTTAGTATCCTACACAGGTAACAGGTGTCCAGATATTTGGGCCATCTCCCACTGCTTTCCCAGATGCATCCACAGGAAACACTGGTATTCAAACTGACACTCGAATATGGAGTGCCAGCGTCACAAGAAAAACTTAATGCACAGTGACACAATAGAGACCCCCTAAACTTTCTAAGTAGCTTCTCTCAAATATTTTAGTTGTAATAATGAAAATTTCACTACTACAATAAGCAATGAGTTTTGAGTAAATGTAATCACAACCTTAAGTTTAGATACTAATACACTTCTTCATGGTTTCAAAGGTTCAGGCTTCTCCCGCCCTAGAATTACAGATATCTAAGCACAGGCATCAGTGCAACAAATAAGATGCTGCTGTTATTTCCAGCATTGTGGCACAGCAAGTTAGGCTGCCACCTGCGACACTGGCATTCTATGTGAGTGTCAGTTTGGTTTCTGGCTGCTCTACTTCTGGTCCAGCTCACGGCTAATACACAGGAAAAGTAGTGGAAGATGATCCATCAGAAATAAAACTGGTATGGACACTACATTACTAGTATTCTTTTTAAAATGATTTATTTATTAAAAAAAAAACAGAATTATAAAGAGAGAAGGAGATACAGAAGGAAAGATGTTCTATCTGCTGGTTTACTCCCTAAATGGCTGCAATGACTAGGGCTGAGCCAATCTGAAGCTAGGAGTCTCTTCTGGTCTCCCATGGGGCTGTAGAGTCCTTCTTGCTCAAGTTACAAGCAGGAAGCTGGATGGGAAGTGGAGCAGCCTGGAAATGAACTGGTACCCATATCAGATGGTACCACTTGGAAGCACAGGATTAGATAATCATTACACTAGTCCCTCCATCTGCCTTTTTTCTAACCTACCTTGCAATCCAAGGTATGTGGGGAAGAGGCAACGTTTATAAGATTTTTTTATATGAACATATAAACATTTTTTATGAACTTTTTTTAAGATTTATTTTATTTTTATTGGAAAGTCAGATATGCAGAGAGAAGGAGAGACAGAGAGGAAGATCTTCTGTCTGCTGATTCACTCCCCTAGTGACCACATTGGTCTGATCTGAAGCCAGGAGCCAGGAGACTCTTCCAGGTCTCCCACACGGGAGCAGAGTCCAAAAACTTTGGGCCATCCTCGACTGCTTTCCCAGGTCACAAGCAGGGAGCTGGATGGGAAGCAGGACTGCTGGGATTAGAACCAGCGACCATATGGGATCCTGGCGCGTGCAAAGCGAAGAGTTTAATCACTACGCTATTGCGCTGGACCTGACAATAGGCTTTTGATAGGAACTAGAAGAAACCATGAGGCAAGAAGGAAAAAACAAGATGACTCTTAGAGTTTTGGACCTGAGGCACTGTAATTTATTCAACTGAGGAAGAATTGGAAAAAGCAAATTTTGGGGGAATTGAAGACAGAAGTTTTGAACAAGTTAAGCTTGAGATGCCTATTATTATTATTTTTTTAATAAGACATTAAATAGTTGAATATGTATTTGAAAGTCAGGACTATAAAGGTTAAATTTAAGATTAATTAAGATTTTTATGTGGTAGACTTTGTAGATATAGACTTCCTTCCTGTCTACAAACAGAGAAACAAGTATAGCCAAGAAGAGATGAAGCAAAGGACTGAGTCTGGAGAGGCCCAGGATTCAGACAAGCAGAAGGGCCAGCATCATGGTGGCAACGACTTTAATTTCTGTTTTGTAACACTCAGAGCACCTGCTTCAAAGCTAGGCTCAAGGTAAGTGTTTATAAAACATCCACTGAAAGAGTAAATAAAGAAACTGCTGGAAAGGTAAGTAGGTATGTAACCCGCTGTGTCCACATCACCACACAAAACAGTGCTTCTGCTGTTGTCTTTGCCACATACTATGATGGAAAGTTCCATACCCGGTAAGCAGTTACTGGCAGATTTTTTTTAACACTTTATGAATGATATGTTTTGCCTGAAGCCTTCTCTTCTTCCTTTACTAAAGTGTAGATAAACAGCCTTTCTATTATTTAGCAAACGGAAAAATGAGCCAGTATGTTGCTGGCATGCATTGGTTGGTTCTTCAGTCTTAATCTTTGGCAATCCACCAAACCATATATTTTCAAGTGCCAACAAGAGATGACTTTGGCCAATTTGAGACAAATTACTTTTTCTCCCCTCTTTCAGTACATGCTGTTAAAATTCAACCAGGGAATCATCCAAATTATAAAAAAGAACAGTTAATACTGGAGATCTAAAGAAACAAGAAGAAAACTTTAGGTAGCTAGCTCTCAATTTAAAAAATTCAATTTAAGGAGATTGATATTGTTAACTTCTATTATATAATACCACTCATTTCCCAATAGTGATGTGTTTTTTTTTAAAAGAAAATCAATGCAGAGGTTACAGAATTCTGAGCAAGACATTTTCAATCATACAGCAAACCATTGGCAACATTATTTGGCAATAAGTTGCAAATTTTGATTCTGTTAAGGTACTTAGCACACTCAAGTTTTTGAATGGCTGTAGTGAAATGGAAACTTTAAAAGAAAAATCACCCCTATTTAATGGCCAAAGCTAACAGGGCAATGTAGTTGAAGGATTCCGATATTTGTGGTGCAAAGCTGATGTCAGTTCTGGGAACAGGCAGTGGAATGCAATAGGGTTGGTGAATTAAGCAGACAGGGAGTCCAATTTCTGATTTCTTCCAAAAAACCGAACTGGAGAAGCAAAAGTTGCAAAATCAAGCAGAAATTCCAACCCAGCACTTAAGGTTTGAAATATCAAAATTGTTGTTGAAAGAAATTTAAATTGTTGCCCAGTCTGTATTGCTTACATGTATTTTTCTTGGAAGACGGAAATCATTCTGATTTATAAAATTCTCTTTTTCTTGTTAACGGAGAAGAGGTTTGTGTTAGAACGACAGATTCCTGGAGTGAAATGCCTCCAAGTGTGTATTACAGGAATGGAAGCGGTGTTAGAACATGGATAAGCCTTTGAAAGATCATTCACGCTGACACATCAGTCTATGTACTCCAAAAACCTTAATCAGTGCAAACACAATGTCCTCATCTTGCCCGTCATTGACTGGCAGGTGTCAAGGGCATGCTAGGCGATGATATTAACACAGAGCTTTGCATCATGCTGCTCATCTTCGTGCCTACAGTAAAGTCAGCATCACTGGAGAAAAGGATTAACATGTGAGAGAAATTTTCCTCAGTCTGGGGAAACTAAGTGAAGAAATTTTCAGGAGTTTTTCTAGGCCCCAGAGTCCTAGAGGGAAGAAGTGCCCCCTTTATCTCAGCAGTACAGGCACGGTGTTGTATTGCAGGAGGGGTGGTGGTGGTGGCGGGGGGCCAAGGACGAGGCCAATGAATCCCCTCTGTGTATTACACGTTCATACTACTTTCTTTTCAGGAATCAGAATTTTTGAAAGTTGAAAAAATTGTTTTGCCTAGACATTGCCATTAACTTCGAGTTGAGGAGCTGGAGATGTAACTACTGCATTTCTAAACAACCTGAACGTATCCCACCATCCTCACAGGCTGAAGGATGGGATGGTAAACCCTGGCATGTGGAACTCAGTGAGTGGAATTGGACATGAGATGAACAACCGGAAGGAATCTCCTTCTTTTTAAACCTTAGATTAAATTGTTTTCCTCGACAAGGAACATGCTAATCCCCTTTCATCTGATTCTTTCCCTTTATCGAGGAAGCATCATCCTTTTCAAAGCGCTTTGACCATCTCCTCGGAGGCTATTTCGGCTGCCCTTCCCTTGTGAAGCAACAAAAACACACATTCCTGCTTCCATCTATAGTAGCAGTTTGGAGCAGAATAAATGGCATAAGATGTTCTTTACAGAGAGAAAAAAAATTACCTACCTTTTTCTTCTTGCCTTTTGGTCTCCCTGGCGGAGAACTCTTAAATGCTCCAACTCGCTGTGTGAGTTTGGGCAGGAGAAGGGAGGAGGTGCTGGCGGGAGGCTGCTGACACACGCCTCTTTGTCTGCCTGGGATTGACAGGCTCACTGCTCCAGCCAGGACCAGGGCAGAAGGGGAGCTTGAGGAGACAGGGCTGCAGAGACTGCCTACCCTGGAGTCTTCCAAACCAGGAGAGAGCGAACCAAACAGCTTCTTTATAGAATAATAACTGGTCTATACAAGCACCTCAGGGAAGCAAACCTTGGAGCAATGAAATAGGAAAGTTGAGGGATTTAGAAAGAACACAGTGTAATTTTTTTTTTTTAACCTTAAGAGAAGTGTGTGTGTGTGTGTGTGTGTGTGTAAGAGAGAGAGAATTACTTAGGAAGACAGCTGAAGACATCTTTTCCGTTTCAATTTCTTTGCATTTTAGCACTAAGTTTTCTTATTACCTGGATCTCCTGTAGTACTTTGGTAGAAGATATATTCCTTCCAGTTTTGACCTAAAAACCATTACCAGTGATGGAGGGCAAAAATAAAAGACTGAGGGCCCAGCGGCGTGGCCTAGCGGCTAAAGTCCTCGCCTTGAACGCCACGGGATCCCATGTGGGTGCCAGTTCTGATACCGGCAGCTCCACTTCCCAGCCAGCTCCCTGCTTGTGGCCTGGGAAAGCAGTCGGGGATGGCCCAAAGCCTTGGGACCCTGCACCCATGTGGGAGACCTGGAAGAAGTTCCTGGCTCCTGCCTTCAAATTGGCATAACATTGGCCGTTGCGCTCACTTGGGAAGTGAATCATCGGATGGAAGCTCTTCCTCTCTGTCTCTCCCCTCTGTATATCTGACTTTCCAATAAATAAATAAATCTTAAAAAAAAAAAAAGATGACTGAAACAAAACAAAACCTTTATTCTGTGTCTCAGAAATATAGACTCCAGAGGAACTTTTACAAAAGATTTGTGTATGTTTGTTAGAAAGACAGATTTACAAAGAGAGGAGAGACAGAGATGGAGACGTCCCCTCCCATCTGCTGGTTCACTCCATGAAAGGGCCAGTGTGAAGACACGAGCTAGGAGCTTTCTCCTGATCGCCCACATGGGGGCAGCACTCAAGGACTTAGACATCCTCTGCTGTTTTCCCAGATCACTCAGGGGGAGCTGGGCTGGAAGTGGGCAGCAGAGACTCAGACCAGTGCCCATACAGATGCTGGTGCCACAGACAGAGGCTCCGCCTGCGGTGCATGGCACTGGCTCCTCAAAAAAACCTTTCACTGTATTTGAGAAAACTGTACTTAGATTCTGACATCTATTAGCTAATTTGCTAAATTTGTTTTTTTTTTTAAATTCTATTAGGAGTAGAGTTCTGGGAATCAGAAATATTCTTTTCTTTTTAAAAAAGATTTACTTATTTTTTTTTTTATTGGAAAGGCAGATGTACAGAGGAGAGGAGACACAGAGAGGAAGATCTTCCATCTGTTGATTGACTCCCCAAGCAGCTGCAACAGCTGGGGCTGAGCCGATCAGAAACCAGGAGCCCAGGGCCTCTTCCAGGTCTCCCACACGAGTGCAGGGTCCCAAGGCTTTGGGCCATCCTAGACTGCTTTTACAGGCCGCAAACAGGGAGCTGGATGGGAAATGGAGCTGCCGGGATTAGAACCGGCGCCCATAGGCAAGGACTTTAGCTGCTAGGCCATGTCGCCGGGCCCTGGAGAGAGCTTCTTTTCACTGATTCACCACCCAGATTCCCCCAACAACTGAGGTTGGGCTAAGCCGAAGTTGGCAGGTGAGCATTCAGTTCAAGTCTCCCGCTTGAGGCACTCCTGCTGCCGACCACGGTGTGCACTGGCAGGAAGCTGAAGTCTGGAGGCAGCTAGAGCTCACAGCCACACACACACCCTGATGTGGCTCAGAAAGAGTCCGAGTGGCATTCTGCTGCCGAGTCAGATGCCCACAGTCAAAGCTCGTGTATTCTTTCTTATATGCGAATAGGAAACTGAAAACTAATGACATCTCCTTTCCTGCTTGCAACTCTTCTTCCTTTGATGTTGGCTTTCCTTTTATTTCTCTTGATGTCAAATTGTTTCTACATTTCCTTATTGTATTCCTGGTCTTGCCTTGGATCTCAATTCACAGCTGCTCAAAATAGCTGATTCATTTTTATATTTGGAAACACTCAAATCCACACGAAAAGTGCAGTACTGTGCTTCCTGCGTGCTGGCCAACGTACACAGCAGCTCTCGGTACAAGCTTACAAGTCTGACTCAAGCTATGAGTCATTTAGAAAGTTTCCCCTAAGAAGCACATTTAGACCCTGGCTTCTGAGCTCCTTGTATACTCAAACATTGACTTACTGCTCGTTAGGCTTCCTGTCTCTCTGGGGGAAAACTATTACTATTACTTAAAGACTTATTTATTTGAAAGGCAGACTTTACAGAGAGACAGAGAGGGAGAGAGAGAGAGAGAGAGAGGAGACAGAGAGAGGTTTTACAGCGACTGGCTTCCCCTCCCAATGGTCACAATGGTCAGAGCTGAACTGGTCCAAAGCCAGGAGCCAGGAGCTTCTTCTGGGTCTCCCACATGAGTGCAGGGTCCCAAGGACCTTGGGCCATCTTCTGCTTTTTTCCCAGGCCACAAACAGAGAGCTGCATCAGAGGTATAGCAGCCTGGACATGACATGCTGCCCTATGGGATCCTGGTCCCAGCAGGCAGAGGGTTAGGCACTATGCCACCATGCTGGCCTGCAGAATTATTAAATACTTTTGTTTTCAAAGTGCTTCTAGTCAGGGCCAGTGTGGTATATCAGGCTAATCCTCTGCCTGTGTCACCATTTCATGTGCCACCTGCTTAATTCCCAATCCAGCTGTCTTCTTTATGGCCTGGGAAAGCAGTTGAGGATGGCCCAAGTCCTTAGGCCCCTGCACCCACAGTGGAGAGTCAGAAGAAACTCTTGGCTCCTGACTTCACAGCCACTCAGTTCTATTCGTTCTGGCCATTTGGAAAGGTGAACCGACAAATGGAAGGCCTCTCTTTCTGTCTCTCCTCCCTCTGTAAAATCTGTTTTTCCAATAAAAATAAAATTTTAAAAAAGTACTTCCAGTCAGCCATCCTGATGTCCACTGCAGAGTTGCCTTTTGAGAAGCGGTCGAATTGCAAACCAAAGCCTGTAACTGGAGGGTCTGTTTTTATTACCTATTTGGAAGTTCAACTCTGAACGCACTGCTTGTTCTCTTGTGTATGTAAATTGAAGGCATTTTTGCTTTCTCTCCGATGGGCTGTTATTTAGATCTCTTGCGGCACCCTGCTTATGTTCCTCCGCAGACCCCTGTCTCTTTGGGATAGCTTCAGCGATCTCCCAAGGTGAGCCTCTCTATGAGCTCGAGCCTGTATTTTAAGTAACACTATTGAAACACACTGTTCAATTTTCTAGAAGTATGCCCAACTATATTTTATGTGTATATATATATGCACACACAGTTTTCTATATGTATGCATGTATTTGGTTTATTTATTTTCATATAGGCAAGCTTATCACCCTTGGGTTCAACCAGGGTTTGTTAGAAATAGAAAATTCTCACACATTAGTGACAGAGCAATTCCTAAGTAGAGCCGTATTTGATATGGAAGTAAGCAATTCCATTCAAAGTATTACATCTGACGGTAATCTATTTGTATTTCCTTAAAAACAAAGCAACAACAACAACAAAACCTAGCAAAATCGAAGCAGGTTAAGTCTCAGGAGGTATTTTAAATATAAATAATCTCAAGCGTGCATAAAAAATGAGAGCACCCATGAGCCCTTCCTCTGAGTTGTCAGGTGGAAGCTCACGCACGGGCTGCCGCTCTGTCCCGCTCTGTCCCGGGACTGAGCCCTCTCTCTCCTCGGCCTCAGCTTACCTCCTGTTGCTGCAGCTGGTTCCAGCCGTCTCAGCTCTCCCCTCCTTCCAGTAGAAAGATGGGGCTTGTTTTATGTGACTATCCTTGACACAGCAATTGCAGAGAAATTACGCTGACTGAAAACGAATTCACAATATGTTTGCTGAAATCATAATGAGAAACAGATGAAATTTCCTTTTAAAACTACCTTAAAACTTTCACCAGTTAAAAACAAACCAGCTGTTTTATTCACTTAATTATTTTTGAACTAAGAGTTTTTGTTGTTATTAAAATGATGGGAAGCTTCCTTTAAGATTCCCACTGACCCTGGATCATTGGTGCTTACAACGCTTTTTGCAAGCTGGTTGAACAACGTACCCTCTCTTACCCAGCCTTTCTGACACTAAAGCCAGATGTCTGAAAGTGGCCTCCAGGGGGGAGCTTCGGGGGGAGGAGCCTTCTCAGAGTCCATGGAGTCACCCCTAGGCTGCTGTGTGAGAAGTTGTGTAAATACTAGCACAACTCCAGGAGAAGAAATGCTTCCGGAAGGCGTTCCTGTTGGGCTGCAGCCTCCATAGCATAGTGCACGTGGGAACTGCTGGTTTCTAGAGCAGCAGCCATGGCTGTGATGGCGTTCGGCTCGATGAAAAGCTTTTAACCAGAAGAGCATATACAACTCTTCTTGCCTGATCACAGAGAGTAGGTGCCCCATGGGAGATGTGCACTTTTTCACAAGTTGGAGTTTCTGAGCACAGTGAGTAACAGGAACTTGACCTACAATAAAGTCAGAAAAATGAGCATCAGAAGAGAAACGTGTCAAGGAAAACTGCTGTAACTGAGGAGCCCACGGAATTTAGAACAAATGATAATGTTAACATGAAAATAAACTTTGGCAGGACAAGAGGCCAAGAAGGAGAGGAACTTGAGAACAGCCTCTTTTCATTTCTTGGCAGTATAAAAGGAACTGCCTAGAATCACTACGCCCAGATTCCAAGAGTCACTCTGCGGTTTATTGGAGAACAACTTTACTCACTTAACCAACCTAGAAAGTTGGATTGAATAATTAAGTGTGCCAAAGTGTCTTATTTTTTTGGCTTTGGGTTACTGCTTTCATCTTCCCAAAGTGTTTCCTAGATAGAAGCATTGAGTTGTTTGATAATAGTCAAGA